GTTATTAACGGATAAAAATTTACTTTGTAATTAATAATTTTTAAGTGGTCGGATACTTTTGCTAGGTGAGTGTACATAAATTTTCATACTTGGTATCAGGAAGGATGATAATAAAATCGTATATTTGACCCTTTGCTTTTTCCCCCAATTTTATCATTAATCATAAAATCTTTAACCATACTTTTGAATCTTTTTGTATAGAAACACCAACTTTTTAATTAGCTTCAATGGCATCTTTTTCTGCATCACATGCATTTTTATATAAACAGATAATCTCTTGGGATGTCTATGTGCACAGCTGTAATAATTTTCTGAATAACAATTATATACTAGTTTGAAGTAGTTCCAATTTTTGTGCTTTCTTGATATTTAGTGCTTTACTACCTATATAAGATAGGTGTAATATATCTGTTAAAATAGAAAATATTGATATAATGAAATATTTATGTATTAGATAAAAAGATGGCAATAAAGACAATGATATCTTATATTCTGTTCTATTGATTTTTGACAATATTTTTTCAGCAAACGTCGCCATATCTCGGAATAGTTTTTAATGTTGCTATCATTACAAAGACAGGTTTCACATCATTAACATTGTGTATTACAACCAATAAATTATTGATGGTTTCCAAAGAAATTGGGAAGACCGTGGAAATTATTGAGACAGTTTAATGAAATCAAAGACCAAAAAGTACCCGGTTTTAGGTTTTGCATATTCAGAAGTTTTATTTATAAACAAATTCATTGAAAAATCAAGAAACAATTATATAAATAAGCAAACATCGCTACACAAAAATATTTATAAAATTTATATGTTATCCCCGTATAAGACTTGCTGAATTTTATCACCACTAAATTTTGTTATTTTTTTTTTTTTTAAAAAAAAGGAACACAACACAAAAGAACCAAAGAAATGATATCGGTGGCAAAAAAAAAAAATTACAAAAACAATTATTAACGATAATTTTGAACATACTATACCCTAGTTAACATCAACAGAAAAGATGTCGTAAAACCGAAAATTAACTTGACATTCTTTCATCCAATATTATTTAGCTGCTATAATAATTTACAATAAAAATTCAATAAAAATTCAGTGCATAATTCTGCTAACTTTCTCGTTTGTAAATCAATTCACGAATTGGAAAAAATAATGAAGAGAAAAGAATGCTCAATAAATGATCGAACGATAGGTAGTAGTAGTCCCGATTGATTGATTAATATATAATGATTTCACCCTTCAAAATTCCTAGACAATTTCTAGAAACATTGTGATCAGCGAAAAAAAAATAGAATTCAAACTAACAAAAACGCGAAAAAAAAATTCCATTATATCTTCTCTCATAATTAATATCCTGTGGCACTTGGTTGCGTGTAATCCCATGTAGTTGTCGGGACCTGTGCTGGATTGGATGTCGCAGGCCCAGCTGATTGGGGATATGGATATGGATATGGATATGGTGTCTAAAAAAGGAATAAAAAAGGAATAAAAGAAATTAAAGAAATGTCCTAATAAAGTTTGAATTGGAAAAATTCGAAAGGAATGATAATAATGAATAGAATATTAACCTGCTGAGCAGCATTAGGCGCTGGATACCCAGTATATCCAGGGGTGCCCCATTGGCCTTGTGGATAATACGGGGGTTGCGTCGAACTTGGCGCGACATAAGGTGCAGTCGGTGTTGGAGATGCACCCGTAATTGAAGCACTATCAACAGCCCCATCAATTCTCACCTGCTTTGCAGGTTTTTCGAGGTCTTCTTCTAAGCCTCGTTTTTTTGTATCCAAAGTAGCACGTATAACAATGGGACCATTCGATTCTACATCGATTTTGTTATAAGTAGCTATCGTTGTGCCACGTTCCAAGAGAAAATCGAGATAACGGTGCGAAAAATCTCGTATCGACTCGGGAGAAAGTGTCGAAGTGTTTCGAATTAAATCATACACGTTTTTTAAATTCGTTTCCGTCTCAGAATCTACAAATGATTAAAAAATATTAACAACAATGCAAAATTATCAATTATATAAAATTATTAATTGTATAAAATTACTAACCATTCTGAAATAATTCAAAGTTGAAATAATTCAACCAAAAGTATTTACTATCCACAAATTTAGAGGCATTTTGTTGAAATATTTGGCGAGCCTCTTCCACTGAACCTTTATTCTTTAGAAAAGAAATATTTTTTAACATATTATAACTTTTATTATTACTTTGTTATTACTTTATACATAATTTGTTTACTTACATGCCATAAAATCTTCGCATACTGTACTGTAACGAAAGCCTTTGACTTATCATCTAACGCGTTATTTTGCAATGCAGACGTGAAAACGTCGATAGCAATCGATAGGTCATCAGGATGACGTCGCCTTTCAAAATGAGCATATTTCAATATAGTTTCGACATGTCCTGGAACTTTATTTAAAATAAATTTATTAAATTTAATTAAACCAACAGTAATCAACAATCAAGAAATTATTCTTACCAGAATCCAGGATTTTTTTATAAATTGATCTAGCCTCTTCAATATTGCCCTGCTGTTCTTCAAGACAAGCATGTGATAAACGAATGCTTGGCCGACTAAAAAGTTTATTAATTAATGAAGGTTAAATATATATATATATATATATATATATATATATATATAAAACCAATAAATACGCACAAAAAGAATATGCACAAAAATATTAACCTGATTGGAATAAACACTGATGTGGCTCTTTCATATATATTACGGACATCATTAAGTCGATTTTTTGAAATAACCCAGCGGGCATATCTTTGCCAAAATTCCTCATACAAAGCCTAATAATTCATAATTACTTTGGTCATAAATTTGATAATTATTAAAATTAATTATAGGAAATCACATAAATCACTTACACAAGCAACCAAACATCTTTCATATAAAACTTGAATTCGAGTATCATCTCCTTCACTTTCTTCAAAATCAAGATATCTTCTCCAATTTATCAGCTGAACTTCATCCATCGCTTTTACGTGGAAGTAAGGTCTCTTGATCTTCAAGAATTATTAGAATTATTAGATTATTTCATGTGTTTGTTAATGTACTTGATTGATTTTTTAGAAAATTTATTTTAAAAATATTCTAATATATTCAAATGGTATTACCTCTTGTTCGAATACCCAACGTTTATTAGTTTCAACTTGAGTCTTCATATAAGTTTCAACATTCATATTATAAATACGTGTTCGAATTTCATTTTGTATTTGTTCTTCCGTCTGCAAGAAAATTTTAAATAAAAAACTCAAAGTCAATCAGATTATTCAATATTCTAATTTTATTAAATAGTAATATCAAACCGTACTTTTTCTACTTTTTCTGCGGGAGAAGAAGAAGATTGCTCATCCTCCGCTCCCTCTGCAGGAGGAGCTGGAGGTGCTGTTCGCACTTCTTCCTCAAACTGTGCATATTGTTCGGAAGAGATTAATTCACTTATTGGCAGCGTTCCACATATGTTTGTAAAGCTTTAAATTGCCCATGTGGTTTTTATAGAAAAAAAAAACCATAATATTAAGCAAATAATTATAATGAACAAAGATATATATATATTAATCTGAAAACCTACTCATCGAAAAATCTTGCATATTGATGCATAGGAATACGAATAATTCTGCTCAATATTTTTAAAACTCTATCATAAGCTTGCCTAGATTTTTCAAATTCTATATACTTGTCCCAAAACAAGTGAGATAAAAAGTCAAGGCCAACTTGGGAAGCACCGCGTTCAAATAACCTATTTTAAGCAGTTAATAATATAGTCAGATGTCGACAAATGATATATTGTATATCTTTAAGAAAAATGTCTTGTTCAAAAAAAAAAAAAATGAACAACAACACAGCGGCAAAAACTCAAAGCTATAACTTAGATTACAATAGACCCGATCCCTGCAATAATTATGAAGCAAGGAGTGAATAAGGGACGTATTTCTCCGTCGGATGTGTTTTGAGTCATCACTGGTAGACAAATCTCCTTTGATCCTTAATCATCCTCCTTAATCATTCTTTGCTGTTGCTTGTGCAAGTAAAAACTTGGTGACAATTATTGCACATAACGTTGTTACAAAACAAAGATAACAATCGAAAGAGTATCAATAACTCAATCACTTCACTTCGCCTTTACTGTCATTCTGATCGGATTGTATTTTGAGTCATGCTGCCTTACTTTTGAAGCATAAGTAGTAGTGTATATAATAACAAACTAATACGAATACGAAACGACAAAAAATAATACTGAAGAACAGAAAGAAATTTTGATTATCAGAATATTTTATGAACCTACCCTCGAATCTCTTCTACATCCGAACAATGTTCGATTTTAAAAGAACAATATTGTGTCCAAAGATCAACAGAATTCGATATAGCAGCAACTCCACGTTCGTAAATCTGTATTAAAAAATAAAATTAGTGAATTTATCTCTCAATATTTTACATGTAATTTTTTTTTTTTTGTTTCAGTAAATTTTTTAATATAATAATACCTTTTCTGCTTCTGCTGGACCTTGAATATTAAATTCGAAATCCGCATACTTCTTCCAATAACCAAAACATAAAGGAAATTTTGCCAAAAATTGATCAAAAACATTACGCATATTTGTTATATTTTCGGGTGGGGATTGTTGTGTGAGACCCCCTTCAGCGGTTTCTGCAACGCGTATTAAGTATTCCCACGATGTAAAATCCTACAATATAAGAACATAAGAAATTTTTTAATTTCTTAAATGACAGAAAATTAATAAAGAATAAAAAATGAAATATGATTATTGAGTTTACATCTGGATTAGACTTGACAATATCCCAATAACGTTCTAAATCGGATTGTTGTGGTTGTGTTTCGGAACTTGAAACATTTTCTTCGACGGGAGTCTGTTCATCCACTCCATTCGTTTGAACTGGATTGAAAATTTTGTAGTTGGCGTTTTTGTATTAGTACTTTAAAAATCAAGATTTATTTCCTTAAAGTGTTTTTTTTTTCTTTTTTACTTGATGGTTTAACTTAAGATCTTTTCATAAATTATATTGATTGAATGCATCAAGCCATTTCAAACAAGGAAACTTTCGCCAACTTAGAGCGGTTTAAGACATACCAGTGGAAGAAGAATCGTATTGTGTAAACTGAGATGTTGACGCTTGATCTTCGTAGGATCCCATATTTTTGTCTAGACCTTTATAAAGTTATTTACATAAAAAAGACGTTCTTCGATAAAAATAGCACATGTTTACGTAGATTACTACATATTAGGAAATTGAAATTGTGTACCATGTCTGTTTCTGTTATATGATTGATTTTTGATTTTTTTTTCGGATCGCGTTTTACAAATTTTAAACTTTTCAAAAATGCCAAGACCCCCAAGAAAAATCAGAACAATATTACAAGACAAAGACAAAAACAATGAATCTGTACTAAATGGTTTATATAGATTTTTATTTTTTTTTTATTAGAGATTTTGTCAAATCACAAGTATTTTTTAGTTAACGAATTCCAAAACTCCACCTATTTGTAGAGAAAAATAATCTGAACTATTTAAAAAATGCTAATAAAGATTTGATTGAAGTGTCTCAAGTTAACAAGAAATCTAAATATAAAAAAACGGACAAAACCATCTACGAAAATTCTGAAAAAAAAACTTCTAAAGAATTAAAAGAATTAGTAAAAAATGGATATTTACCCGAAGAGGAAGGGGATAATCCGGAAGATCCCAAATTAAACATATTTTCTTCGAAAAATGATCGAATTCCAAGTATTCCATTTTCTATTCAAACGGATTTAAGCACTAATAATGATAATATTGACTTCCATACCTTTGAATTCGTAAAAGCTAGAAAAAGTGACAATAACTTTCTGCGGAAAAATAAGGATAAGTCATTGAGAGTAAATGCGGATGAAGATGAAAATGAATGTGAATATGAATCTGAATCTGACATTAAGATTCAAAATATTAATCAATACAATGAGTTGAATAATGAGAAATCACAAGATAATTCACAATATAATTCGCAAGATGATTATGAATTGCAAATTATTCAGGAAATCGATGATCTTTTCTTGTTTTCAACAAATGAAGATCAAGACTTAAACAAATCTCTCGAAAATTTGGATCAATTAGAAAATGAAATCGTCAATAATAATCCACCATCACAATTAAATACTATTGACTCACCACAAGTTCACGAAAAAAATTCATCGCAGCCAAAGCAACCGAAACGGACAAGAAAAAAGAATTTACGCGTGGCTAATACAAATGATTTGCTAAATCTCTTACCTCGTCGTAGACGTGTAAAGAATGGACATAAAAGAAAAAACAATCATGACAAAGAGTCAGAAAATGAAGAAGATAATATTATTAAGAATGATGAGGATACCAAAACTATTAAATCGAAAAAGATAAAGAATAGAAAAGGAATGAAAAAAATTATGAGTCAAAATGAAGGAGATGAAGTTCTAGATGAGGTAAAAGACTTAATTCATTAAAAAAAAAAGGGAAAAACCTTATTACAAAAGGCTGAATCTTTTGAAATGTTCCATATCCAACATTTTAGGTTGCTCAACGAGAACATGAAGCCCGAATCCGATATTTCGAGGAGGTAGATAAATATATTTTACCAGTAGAAGTCATCGAGGATAAAGTTTTCTTTGGATGATAATCGTGACTACCGCGAAAAGATTCTCTGAAGATAATTTCATATATATATAAAATTAAGAAGACCAGAAATTAGTAAATAAAATGTCGAGTTTTATACTTTGCACAATCTTGTATCTATTAGTATCTATTAGTATCTATTAAAAAAAAACTATCCGGAAAATTTTTTCTACTAAAGTTCTTGTATAGATGATAATATGTATAATAGTATTTGCACATATAAGATTAAGATAAATATTATAATATTGAAGTTATTTGGCAAATTACATCCAATTTCAAAATAAAGATAAAGGCCTTAAATATAGCATATATATATATACTAATTGAATAATTAAAACCAAAAAAAAAAAAAAAAAAAAAGGTTGGGCATTAAATTTTTTTTTTTAACGGTTTTCTTGTATATTTGAAAATTCTTTAGTAAATGAATTCAGAAAGACCAACCAGGGCAGTAATATTAAATGGATTTTGAACAATTTAGACGCAAAACCGAATGATCAAAAAAAAAAAAGATATCTGGCATTGAGACCAGGGAAAGAAATATATATATCACGAACAAACCAAAAATAAAGTGCGTAACAAAGAGTAACAAAGAGGGTAATACCAAAATTTGATACAAGAATAACGAGTCATTCAAAGGATAAGACAAAAATATCCAGAAGGAAGGACGGTAAAAATATTAGAGCGAAATCAAATAAATATTTGGAAATTTGCAGGAAATTTTTAAACCGTCCTAACCAAAAAATTATAATCCAAAACCAACTAAAAAAAATATCGGGTAAGAACAAAGGGAATTAATTTTTAAGATCATTACATGATCGAAAGGACTTTTTTTAAAAATTATATCAACGAATAAACATAGTCCAACATTAAAAAAAATAAAATCAACCCCATTATACAAAAAATAATAAAAAATAATAATAATAAAAAATTAATAATCAACCATTAACCAAAATAATAGACCATTGGGTTATGAAATAGACATGACAAGAAAAAAATAAAACATTTCTTAACAGTCAACAAAATTCTTATAAAATATATATATATATATATAAAAGAAATATAATTTTTTTTTTTAGCAAATAAGTTTTTCGGCTTAGTTTATAACAAAGGGAATAAAAGAAATTTAATATGTGAAAAAAAATTAAAAAAAAAAAATTAAAATGAAAAAATAAAATAGCTACAAGAAAAATATAAAATATAAAAATGCAAATAAATCTCCCTCCTAAACAATTCTATCAATAAAACATAATTAGAAAATATAAACTGTAAAAATATTCTGTCTAAATTCAACCAGAATTAAAGAAACAATATATTAAAAAATCTGCAATAACCACCCAATCATTCATAATAATAATTATTATAATCCCCTACCCATTACTCGTCATCAACATCACCATCGTCTTCCCCGGCATCGATATTCCTACCGTCAGATTCAGAATCACCTGCGTGTAGAACTCGAGCATCAGATTCACCATTATTACGTCCCTTATTTGTCTTGGTTCCTGAACCGTTATTAATTCCACCAACAGTAATACCCCTCGGAGGATTACCGCATCGATCTTTACCATAATTAATGCGAAACTTTTTATATTCTTCTTTCGTTTTAATTCCTTCAATCGCTTTAATAGCAGAAAGTATAGAGGTGAAATTAACAAAACCACAACTTTTTTCCTTGAGAATATTTACTAATTCGATTTCTCCATATTCGGAAAAATCTCGTCTAAGCTTTTCTTCGGTCATGCTTTCATCTAGTTGACCAACATAAACATTACGAGAGGCACTTTGGGTGTTTACAGCCATTTGAATGTGTGCTGGTAAAGGTCCTGGATTTTTTCCCCATCCAACTTTGAGGCGGCGATTCTTAACTACCACCCCGGTCTGCTGTGCGAGATACATGAAGGTATTTGCGGAATTAGGATCGATAAAGGTAACGAATGCTATATGCTTCTCTGACATATAACGAATCTGTTGAAGGATACCGCCTCGAATAACGTTGCAAATTTCTTCACATGTAGTATCCGGATGGATGTTTCCAAGATAAACAGTTCGGTGTCCTGCTTGTGATCCAGATGTCGCACTTCCCGCTGCAGAAGAAGCTGAAGAAAATAACGGACTCGTAGGACTTCGAAGTTCGGTCCCATTCTCTAGGTGTCCAGTAGCGGTAACAGAAGCGGCATGATAAGGGTCAAATCCAAATCCCATAGTTGCATTGCTGAAACTTTGGAAATTTAGTGAACTTGTTGGAAACGTGTACTGAGTGGCATTACCATTTCCTATACTGGATCTTTGAGCACATCGATCTTTTCCATAATTAACTTTCTTGTTGGAATATTTAGAATCGGTAGGAAGTGTCTGTACGGCTTTCATGGCACTAGCAATGCTCAAAAAATGAACAAATCCGATATTCTTTTCCCTAACAATTTTGACATGTTCAATAGGTCCATATTTACTCAAATCCTCACGTAAAGTAGCTTCGGTTATTGACTCATCCAAATTTCCCAAATAAACGTTACGCGTAGCGCTTTGAGTGGTAACAGCTACTTGGACATTCACAGGAACAGGTGATGGCTTTCCCCAACCGACTTTAAGTTCTTGACCGTGTAAAACAATTTTTCTACTTGTGGCTTCTTGATAAAATGCCATAGCGGCTGCACCATCCATAAAAGAAATGAAGGCACAACTTTTATCACTAAGGACCCGAACCGACTCTATTGGTCCAACTTTTACGTGGTTTAACATTTCTTCAAACTGTACGTCTGGTGGAAGATTTCCTAGGTAAACAGTACGGCCTGTTGCGTTCGTAGTAGCGCTAGTAACAGCTGTCTGTTGGTAAGATGACGGATATTGGGCACCAGAAAAAGCACTAGTAAATTGAGGGACCATACTACTAACGTTAGGGGTATACTGGCTCATAGAAGTAGCATACTGGCTTGGAGTCTGATGATATGCATTCATGCTAGCAAAATGACCAGTTGAGTGTCCAGGATGGTGAAAGCCCGCAGTACCTTGAGAATATGAGGGTGTACCTAACATCATTGAAGATGGACCCACGGGAGGATTTTGATAATATAAATCACTTGAAGATCCTTGATTAAGGTCGCTTCTCATGCCTCCTGCCAAAGAATAAGCACCGCTACTGCTATATCCTTGTCCGAAACGTGGTTTTTTAATATTGTCGTGACTTTGATTTCCGTAATCGTTACTGCGTTTCATGGCTTGTTAGACCAAAGAAACAGAAAAAAATTTTTTCTGATGAAAATCGAATAAATCTATCATTGGCTAGTTTTCATGGATCGATTAGGAATGTCACGTGTTATTGTTAATGTTAAATTGTGTAAATTATTTATATTATTGAATTCTTGTTTCTTGTTATATAAAATTTCTTGATTTTGCATTTAAACAGAACACTTATTTTAAAGTACATGACATGATTTATTAAAAAGAGTGCTAATTTCAAATTTCTATAAAATTACTATAATAATTTAAACAAAATGTATATATCAATTAACAAATATTTAAAATAACAATTAGTAAAGAAACTTTTAATAAAATTATTGATCAATATATAATAAATTTTCTAGTATTAAATTTTTTTATTTATAACAATAAAATATACACAGGTCAAAATTCGAATATCAGATATCTATTAGGTACCTATTGGCTTTCAAATATTAGGTGATTATCAGAAAATTATCAGGCACATGAAATATTTTTATATATATTGGAAGCTTGATATCTGCATTTTTTTTAAGGGCCTGATAGCACTTTTGTAAATTTTATAATGCGTCTGATAGCTATACAATAAATTTTGTTTTGATCTCAGGTACCTGATATTTTATTAATATCAGATATATGATAATAAATAGTAATATCAGAAGTATGATATTTTTTAAATTCCTTCGGGTATCAAATATTATAGTAATATCATGAACTCAATATTTTTAAAGTATATATCAGAAACTGATATTTTTTTTCTTATCAGGTGCACGAGAAAATTTTTTATTTTAAATTTTATATAATCTATCAGATTCCCAATACTATATTTTAATTAAACTTAATTTGTCTTTATGTAATATACACTTAAAATTTAAGTTTTCTACTTGAAGTTGTCTTTATTATAATATAAAAAAAAGAATAAATTAAATATTAAATCTTCTATTCAATAGAATTATTGATATATAATTATTTATATTTTCAACCTGATAGTTTATCTTAATAACTCTACCATATATTCTATACACTGCAATAATTAAATTTTGACTTTCCTCATAATATTCTTTTTTCTATAATTCTGTATTTGATACTTTGGATGCCATAAACTTATGCTTAAATGTATATTAGAGGAATGTGTATTTTTATACTATTTAATATATGCTAAAAGATATGTTTTGGATTCCTTTGTTGGAAATGTAAATGTATGCTCAAAGTAATATTGTATTTCTCTAGGATAAATATCACTTGTCTCATCTTTAAATACATTTCACTTTGCTAAGATCACTATATTATTTTCATATCGACCTGTGACTTTGAACTCAAATATTTCATTATTTATTTTTAATCTTGCATATTGATTTATAATCACTTCTATACATACTTTACATCTTTTCTTTCTTTATTATATAATATTGCATACCATTCACATAATATTTTATAGAGTTCCAATGGAATACTTATCTTTTTATATGAAGGTACTAGCATTTATCCTGATATATTCTCAATACTATAGATCTTATTGAACATATCATGTCTCAAGGAGATGAAATACTGTAACTCTTCTCTATTAAATTCATTAGTTGCAGCTAAGCTGCCAAAGGAATAAAACAGTAAATCAAAACTTATCTAGAAGCCATGCAAGGAATTGAAAAAATCTATAAAGTAAACAAGAAGAAAAAAGATAATAAGAAAATCAGTAATGATTGAAAATGAAAAAAAAATAAAAATAGAATTGAATAATACTGAAGCAAAAAGAAAAGAAGTAAAAATAAATTAATATTAAAAAAAAAAAAAAGAGTGAGAAAAAGAAATAAAAATAATAAACAAACGAAATTTAAAAATAATATCATTTCTGAGGAAATTACTGGAAGAATGAAAGAAATGGAAAATGAAATAAAAGAAGAATTGAAGGAAAAACAAAATGATGATCTGTCGTAAGGGATGACAAACATGAGAAATAGAAAAAGTATAACAAAGTATAAGTGTGAAGAGAAGAAGGAGATAAAGAATTCCACTGTTACATGTGTAAAAAATTCATGATACTTGAGGAATTCCAGAATTGCAAAAAAGAAGGAAAAGGAAAGAAAAATAAAATACAAATGAAATGTATGCTGAAATAGTAAAAGGGTAGATAAAAGAACAATAAGAAACAATGGGAAGAATAGAAGGGAAGACTATTGAAGGTGTTATGTGAAATGGATGTAGGAAAAGAAAAAAGTGTAAACATAATATTAATAAAAATAAATTTAATAATAAGAGCAATAGATAGAAAGTCTAAAGAGATCAAAATTTTAAAAGAATTTAAAATTAGAATTAGAATTAGTGAAAAATGGAGGTGCGAATGTGACCATTAGTGATAAAAGTAGGAAAGTGAAATAATATAGAAATCTTATAAATTTTAGAAAAGTTATTTAATTGAAATATTTTAAATAAAATGTAATATTTCCACTATACAATAGAACAGTAAAAGAGAAATAGTAATACAAAAATAGTAAATGAATAGAAATTTATAATCAACTTTATTTACAAAAAGATAATTTATATTTATTATTAGAAGTAATCAAATAATTTTATTATATTTTATTTAATACAAATATATATATATAAGTAATAATAGTACATTTAAGAAAATAATAATATAAAGAAAAGTAATTAATCTTTTTCTACTTATCTTGTAGTATTAATAAAAAGATAAAAGAAAATATACTTACAAATAAAAAAAAGAAATCTGGTATTCGTCATTACAAAAAGAAAGAAAAAACTAATCTAGTACCTAGGACAAAATGAAAAGATGACCATGGAAGTGACACACATTACTTTCCCTGTAGCTAATTATTATTACCAAAGATATCTCATAGTGCACATAGTGAATAGAAATAATAGTAATCAAAATGAATGTTCTAGAAAAATAGAAAGATGATCATGAAAATGGTATACATTATTTTTCCCATGACTAATCATAGTCACTGAAGATATCTCATAGTGTACATGGCGAAGACTAATTTAAAGCTATAAATATAATTGAGAAGTTAATTTATAATTACATATAAACAAAAAAATAATATAATAGGAGAACACCATGGAATAGTTATGAAAGAGAACAGAATTATTGAAGGAAAGAATATTGAGGAAATAAAATCTGTATAAAATAAAAAATTAGAAATTAATAAACTTGTTTGCTCCAGGAACCTCCTAATCACACACAATAAAAGTAGGAGCGTTCACAATTAAGTGGTCACAAAGAGCTTTCAATGACTAATTATTTCATATGAAAAATTTCTGAAAAGCTGATATTCCTAAGCTGAGCATACTGCGTCACACACTATTGAGTATTAATGGTTGAAGCTCACCTTCCTAATAGCCATATACTAAAAACTTAGTAATTATTACAAGAATATCAAGTAAGAAAAATTCAACTTACAAAATAAATGAATAAAATATATATATTCAAAGGTCAAAAAGATCTTGGTTAGTGGAATAATCAACAAAATGTATATCAGGAAATGTGAAAAGATTATTAAGAGTTAGAACAAATGGACAATTTGGAAAGAGAATTAAATTAAGAAAATATTTGAGGTGACGAATTCTAAAAATTAATAATTGATTAGATATATGAGTACTATTTAGATTTATTTGTGCATAAGTATATGTACGGTTGATAATATTTACGACTCCCTTACAATAATGATGAGAAATATTTTAATAATAATATCAAAAGATAAATGAATAACAATAATAATAGTAATAAGGATAGAAATAAAAGAATAATAAAATATTACAACAAGTTGAGGAAATCATCTGGTAGAAACTTCTCTAGTCATAATTATTATTATTATAATAATAGAAAAGAAATAATTTTCAAGAAAAATAATTTGTTCCTAAATAATTTTGTATGAGAAAAAATCTAGAATCAAAATAATAATAAGAGATGAGAAATATGGAAAGTCTATATTTGATTAAAATTCAGAAGAAACATATAAAGTCAAAAATTCTTTTTAAAAAAGAATATGAGAAATATGAAAGTACAGGAAAAACATGTGTATAACATAGTGAAAACAGTAATATTTCAAAGGTTCCGGTAAAAATCAAATCAACAAAACAAGAAAATACAAGTTAATAATAAATTGAAATAAAATTACCTGGAAAACACAAGACAATTATATAAATAGCAAATAGAAAAATATAGTTACAATAAAAATAACTGAAAAAATACAAGTTAAATGTAGTCGAATTTTTACTAAAAAGAATTAGAATAAAAATATTACAATGCATGTAATAAAATATTTTGGAAGAACTAATAATTACATAATTAATATAATTTAACAAATAAAATTGATAATATAGTAAATACTTAAATAGAAACAAAAGTAATATGAAAAGAAATTAAAAACAAATTTTTGAAATAATGTAAATTAAACTTTCAAAATAAGAACATTTTGTTTAAGTGAGGAGAAACTGTTATCAGACAAAATTATCAAGACATATAATCTATAATATAAATCATGTAATATACTTACATAGTTTTATAATTATAATATAATATTAATTATCATTACATTATTCTTAATCTAACAAATTAATTAATATTAAGTAAATTTGATTAAATTATAAATATATTAATCAGTAAAAATAATGTATAGTAAAGCACAATAAGGTACAGTAGGATACAGTAAGGCATAGTAATGGCATAGTAGTGTAGATTATCTAAAATACTTATAAAAAGGTTTAAAGTTCTACTTTAATTTTTTATTTGAAATTGATAAATTTATTTTTATAATTTATAACTCCAAAATAAACACTTGTGAAAATTACCTTGTAATGGAATTAATAAAACAATAAATATTGGAAATATAAATATAAATTATAAAAATAATTATTAAATGATACAATATATAGTTAACAAAGGAATAAGATGTTATGGGATTAAATACTTGATTGTATAATTGTATAATATTATTATTTCTGAGTTAATGAAATTAATTATAAACTGTTATTATAAA